CTTCTACAGTTTTGGTGTGATTTCAATATAACTTGGCACACAAGTAGACTACACTAAGATACATAGAATAGTGCATCGGTTTTTGATTTTGATGAAAGGTGTTACCATGGTTACTAAAAATAAAATTTTCTGTGAAATTCCTTTCAAACTCTACTCCTTCTACAGTTTTGATCTGATTTCAATATAACTTTGCACACAAGTAGACTACACTAAGATACATAGAATAGTGCATCGGTTTTTGATTTCGATGTACGGTGTTGGCATGGTTACTAAAAATAGAATTTTCTGTGAAATTCCTTAAAAACGCTACTCCTTCTACAGTTTTGGTCTGATTTCAATATAACTTGGCACACAAGTAGACTATCTAAGATACATAGAATAGTGCATCGGTTTTTGATTTCGATGAATGGTGTTGCCATGGTTACTAAAAATAGAATTTTCTGTGAAATTCCTTAAAAACGCTACTCCTTCTACAGTTTTGGTATGATTTCAATATAACTTGGCACACAAGTAGACTACACTAAGATACATAGAATAGTGCATCGGTTTTTGATTTCGATGAACGGTGTTGCCATGGTTACTAAAAATAGAATTTTCTGTGAAATTCCTTTAAAACGCTACTCCTTCTACAGTTTTGGTCTGATTTCAATATAACTTGGCATACAAGTAGACTACACTAAGATACATTAAATAGTGCATCGGTTTTTGATTTTGATGAAAGGTGTTACCATGGTTACTAAAAATAAAATTTTCTGTGAAATTCCTTTCAAACTCTACTCCTTCTACAGTTTTAGTGATTTCAAACTAAGTTGGCACACAAGTAGACTAAGATACATAAAATAGTGCAATGGTTTTTGTTAAGTACAAACCAGTAGAGCTACAGTCTCGACAGAGACTTCTGGTTTCAGAGTGCGTCAATATGGTCGATATCAACGCACTTTGAAAAAAATTAATTTTTTCAAAGTGCGTTATAGCTTGGTCCCAAATTTAACGCACTTTGAAAAAATTTTTCAAAGTGCGTAATTTTTCAAAGTGCGTTGTAACAATGCATATACTTCCTAGCCTAATGGTTAAAGCGGTTGGTCTTGGACCAAACCTGCGCTATGGAGAGAGTTCGAGTCAATGAAGTTTTTTCTTTTCACATATCTTAAAATCATGAGTGAAAAATGAATTATTATTAAATCATTAAAACAATGAAATGCAGAATTTGATATGTAAAAGATGATATAAACCATAAAAGTTTGAAAAAATACTACTTTTAGAATTGAGAAATGTCTTTTTTCAGAGCGGGGGATTGCTCTCGCCTTGTACGCCTCCATTCTTTCATAATTGATCAGAGAAGCTAACTGAAAGGCGAATCAATTTTCTGTTTATTAGCACCCCTGCTTTCCATGATCAAATAGGTATCGTGTATTTTTTTTCAGTGTTCTTTCATTTAGTTTGTTGTTTTTGAGGCATGGAGAGAACCACGAATTGATGACCGCAATGAAATTTAAATTTTCATATGCATTACTACTAATCATTATCCAACCACGAAATCAAATCCCCTCAAACCAATAATTTTTCCTAAAACCTTGAAAATTTGACCCCCACGAAATTTAAAGCCCGAGGAAATTTCTTTACAGCAAGTTTCATTGAGAGGGTTTGCTTTGCTGAATTATTCAAAACTAAGTATAATTGCAAATTACAAAAATAATGATGGTGATATTTGCTTATTACTTTCAAATTGTGATCGATTTAAATATTTTAAGGTCTCAGTTTTATTCTTTAATTAGAAAAAATGTTTGTGAAGATGATGCCAAGCAGTTGGAGAGGCTGTACAACATGTACTCATCAAGTCTGGAGCTGTTAGAGGTGGAGCTATTCCAGACCCTCAGACTACAGAAAATGTTCCCTCTACAGTCAGGTAGTTATAAAATTCATTTCGTTGTTTACTTGCTAAAAATACTCATAGATCACGTGACTAGGTAACTATAAATACATTCGGTCATACCCATTCTTTATCGACTCTCGCTATAACCTCGATACACGTATATTCACGCAAAATATGGAAATTTCAGGAAAAAGATTTATTGTCTGTTGAAATACCGATTTATGCATGTTTAGTTAAATGAAGTATATGTGTAAATAGATATATCATAAATTTGATTGTCAATTGATTAAAGGTTATAGCGAGTAGCACTCCTAAAATGGTCTTTCTTGTTATTACTTAGAATAGAATTAATTTATATTCGGACGAACAAAGTGAGGGAGAATATAACTGTGTATATAACGTATCAGCTATTTTCTCTATATGACATACCAGATATTCTCCTCTACAGTAGTGTAGTTCTGTGTATAAAATGTTCCAGATACATGTGTATTTCCCTCTACAGTCAGGTATTTCTATTTCCCTGTACAGTCAGGTAGTTCTGTGTATATAATGTACCAGATATTTCCCTCTACAGTCAGATAGTTCTGTGTATATAACGTACTAGATATTTCCCTCTACAGTCAGGTAGTTCTGTTTATATCATGTACCAGATATTTCCCTTTATAGTAAGATAGTTCTGTGTGTATAACGTACCAGATATTTCCCTCTATAGTCAGATAGTTCTGTGTGTATAACGTACCAGATATTTCCCTCTACAGTCAGGTAGTTCTGTGTATATAATGTACCAGATATTTCCCTCTATAGTCAGGTAGTTCTGTGTACTGTAGATCACTTAATTTTCGGACACCTTATTTTCGCGAGATAGTCATTGACTCCTGATTAGCGAGACAAAATTTTCGCGAATTGTGGTTATTGCTCTTTATAATCTTAAGGAATATTATTATACGCGAGAATTAAATTTTCGCGAGCACACTGTCTCGCGTAATTACGCGAAAATAAAGTTTTCGCGAATAAAAAGTGATTTACAGTATATAATGTACCAGATATTTCCCTCTATAGTCAGATAGTTCTGTGTATATAACGTACCAGGTATTTCCCTCTACAGTCAGGTAGTTCTGTGTATATAACGCACCAGATATTTCCCTCTAAAGCCAGTTACTTCCGTGTATATAACGTACCAGATATTGTCCTCTTCAGTCAGGCAGTTCTGTGTATATAACGTACCAGATATTTCCCTGCATAGTCAGTTACTTCTGTGTATATAATGTACCAGATATTTCCCTGTACAGTCAGGTAGTTCTGTATATATAACATACCAGATATTACCCTCTACAGTCAGGTAGTTCTGTGTATATAATTGACATATATAATTCTCCTCTGTAGCCAGGTATTTCTGTGTACCGTTATAACATACCAGATGTTTCCCTGCATAGTCAGTTACTTCCGTGTACATAATGTACCAGATGTTTCTCTCTACAGTCAGGTAGTTCTGTATATATAACGTACCAGATATTTCCCTGTACAGTCTGGTAGGTCTGTGTATATAACGTAACATATATTTCCCTTTAAAGTCAGTTACTTCCGTGTATATAACGTATATATTACGTACCAGATATTGTCCTCTACAGTCAGGTAGTTCATTGTAAATAACATACCAGATATTTCCCTGTACAGTCAGGTATTATTAGTTACATAGTCTTTTAGTGACAGGGTATGGGATGATACCTGGTTAGTAAATTTCATACCTGACGAGGCGGAGCCGAGTCAGGTATGAAATTTACTAACCAGGTATCATCCCATACCCTGTCACTAAATGACTATGTAACGAATTTACCCCACCGATGAAACATTTACGTTTTATCTGTAGTTTATAAATGGTTTTATCTGCTAAATGCTTCACCGCGCTTATATTGTGCCTATTATGACGTCACGTTTGTGTTTGTGACGTAATACATCGACCGGGTATAGATTTACTGACCGGGTATGGATTTACAACTGACCGGGTATAAGTAATCCACCGCTTTCACGTGACAGACTTCAACCAATCGTAAGCCAGGATTTCACGGAAAAATCAACAGAGGTGGGGTAATTCTATTTCCCTCTACAGTTCTGTGTATATAATGTACCAGATATTTCCCTCTAGAGTCAGGTAGTTCTGAATATATAATTTACCAGAAATTACTCTCTATAGTCTGGTAGTTCTGTGGATATAACGTACTAGATATTTCCCTCTACAGTGTCAGGTAGTTCTGTGTATATAATGTACCAGATATTTCCCTCTACAGTCAGGTAGTTCTGTGTATATTATGTACCAGATATTGTCCTCTAGAGTCATTTAGTTCTGTGTATATAATGTACCAGATATTACCCTCTACAGTCAGGTAGTACTGTGTACATAACGTATGAGATATTTCCCTCTACAGTCAGTTACTTCCATGTGTATAACGTACCAGATATTGTCCTCTTCAGTCAGGCAGTTCTGTGTATATAACGTACCAGATATTTCCCTGCATAGTCAGTTACTTCCGTGTATGTAATGTACCAGATATTTCCCTGTACAGTCTGGTAATTCTGTGTATATTATGTACCAGATATTGTCCTCTACAGTCAGGTAGTTCTGTGTATATAATGTACTAGATATTTCTCTTTACAGTCAGATAGTCCTGTGTATATAATGTACCAGAAATTTCCCTCTACAGTCAGATAGTTCTGTGTACATAACGTATTAGATATTTCCCTCTACAGTCAGTTACTTCCATGTATATAACGTACCAGATATTGTCCTCTTCAGTCAGGCAGTTCTGTGTATATAATGTACCAGATATTTCCCTCTACAGTCAGATAGTTCTGTGTACATAACGTATTAGATATTTCCCTCTACAGTCAGTTACTTCCATGTATATAACGTACCAGATATTGTCCTCTTCAGTCAGGCAGTTCTGTGTATATAATGCACCAGATATTTCCCTCTACAGTCAGATAGTTCTGTGTATATAACGTACCAGATATTTCCCTCTAGAGTCAGGTAGTTCTGTGTATATAATGTACCAGATATTTCCCTCTACAGTCCGGTAGATCTGTGTATATAATAGACATATATAATTCTCCTCTGTATCCAGGTATTTCTGTGTGTACCGTTATAACATACCAGATATTTTCCTGTATAGTCATGGTAGTTCTGTGTATACTATATTAATGATGTACCAATGCACTTATCGGTGCAGTGTTTTTATTGTTCTAAATGAAAAAAAAAACGGCTTCATCTACAGTCATTCAATTAATTCTGTATATAATATAGAGAGAGAATGTTCCCTCTTCAGTTGAGTAGTTGGTATAATAACATGTACATGACTTTACATGATGTTACCCATACCGAATGTACTAAACAGAAAATGTTTTTTTAAAAAACGCGCGTTTGTGCTATATGCTGACATTATTTGTTAATCTCTGTGCCATGGTATCTGTTGACATTATCTGCAGGAAATCTTTTCCAGCTTTGTAGATTGTACTCATTGCTTTTATTTTAATTCATGGTATTATAGAGATTTTGATTTTTTTTCTTTCAGGTGTTCACTTCCTGATCAATGTAGGGACATCCGAGCCATTTTTGGGCTGTAAATCCCAGATTAATATCTCAGAAGTTTCCATACAGAGAGAATCAGAGGAAATTAGTCAGTTAGAAAAGTAAGTCCCTCCAATCAAAGTACTGAAAGGTAATTCAGAAAAGTAAGTCCCTCCAATCAAAGTACTGATAGGTAAGTCAGAAAAGTAAGTCCCTTCAATCAAATTTTCATTAACCCCTCCCCCAAAAAAAGGGAGGAAAAGTCGACATTAAGTTAACATTTTCTATGGTCGTTTTTTCAACTTATCACTTGGTTGAATTTGGATTTGGGTGTTTCATGCCAATTGTTAAGCCAGTATTTTCATGCTAAGTTTGACTACAGATTACCACATTTGCCTGTGATCGATAAAGAAAGCTAGGTTGGCTATGACCGGTCAACAGAGGGTGTTTACTCCCTGATGGCACCCGATCCTTCTTTGATATTCAGGAGTCCGTGTTTCTGCCCTGCTGTGAATTTGGATTTTTTAAATGGTCAATGTACATCTGTGTTCCAGTTAAAATTAAGAAATACGAAAGAAAAATATGTCCATGAAAGTTTAAACTGATATAAGATACCGGTAGATTAAACTTGGAAAAAATGTATTTCATCAAACAACAATAAAAAAAAAAAAATAGAAAAGTCTTCATCAGGCTTCACATCTTTGTTGATTGGATAACAAACAGCTATTTTTGTGATTGGATTAACAAAAAAGTCCTTCTGTTATATTGACGTTTCCTAATCACCGATAGAGTCAAGAAAAATGGACTTATCATCCAATGTTGTTTCTGCCTTAGGTGTCGCATTTCTTTGATCACTAGAAGGAAACAGAAAATAACAAAAAAGCATTATCGTAGTAAAAGTCCAGAAAACAATGCATTTAACTGGGGGAATTTTAAAGATCTAAATAAAAATGTATATTCTTCACGACGACATCTTCCTATTATAGCGATAGATAAGCCATGAACAGCACTTTCACATGCAATTTTATCCATTATGAAAATAATACATTTATACAAATAACACCAAGACATGACATACCTATGGATATGCTTATTGTTTCCATAGTTATCAGGTATTTTATCACAGGTTTTTAGCTCTACTGGTCAGAGACCAGAAGAGCTTATGCGATAGTAATGCGTCCGGCGTCCGTCCGTCTGTCCGTCTGTCTGTCTGTCTGTCGTCCGTCTGTCCGTCTGTCTGTAAACAATTTTTCAAAATGCTACTCCTCCTACAGTTTTGGTCTAATTTCAATATAATTTGGCACACAAGTAGACTACACTAAGATACATAATTCTGTGTATCGGTTTTTGATTTCGATGAACGATGTTGCCGTGGTTACTAAAAATAGAAATTTCTGTGAAATTCTTTCAAAACGCTACTCCTCCTACAGTTTTGGTCTGATTTCAGTATAACTTGGCACACAAGTAGACTACACTAAGATACATAATTCTGTATATCGAATTTTAATTTTGATGAACGGTGTTGCCGTGGTTACTAAAAATAGAAATTCCTGTGAAATTCTTTCAAAATGCTACTCCTCCTACAGTTTTGGTTTGATTTCATTATAACTTCGCACACTAAGATACATAATTCTGTGTATCGGTTTTTGATTTCGATGAACGGTGTTGCCGTGGTTACTAAAAATAGAAATTTCTGTGAAATTCTTTCAAAATGCTACATCTCCTACAGTTTTGGTCTGATTTCAGTATTACTTGGCAAACAACTTACAAGTAGAATACACGAAGATACATAATTCTGTGTATCGGTTTTTGATTTCGATGAATGATGTTGCCGTGGTTACTAAAAATAGAAATATCTGTAAAATTGTTTCAAAATGCTACTCCTCCTACAGTTTTGGTCTGATTTCAGTATAACTTTGCACATAAGTAGAATACACTAAGATACATAATTCTGTATATCGAATTTTAATTTTGATGAACGGTGTTGCCGTGGTTACTAAAAATAGAAATGTCTGTAAAATTGTTTCAAAATGCTACTCCTCCTACAGTTTTGGTCTGATTTCAGTATAACTTGGCACACAAGTAGACTACACTAAGAACATAAAGAGACTTTATCAACGATCATTATTCTGTTTAGTTTCAAATCCCAGCTGCTTAAGTACTTTTCTCTTCCTTTGCTATAAGTTCAAACCAGTAGAGCTGCAGTCTCGACAGAGACTTCTGGTTTTTATATATATTTAACATAGTCTTTCTTTATGGAAAGAATCGCATTTATTAGAAAAAATCAAACTGGAAATTCAGTATTACAGATCAAAGCTAAATACCTCAATTTGTTGTAGTGGTAAGGTTAGCATGTTGATTTTATTAAATAAAATGTCATTTTTTCAGCATGTTTAACATCATTTTTTGAAAAGACTGTCTTTTGGGCACTATTTTAATTTTAAGATTTCAGTTGCTTTATTGCAATAATCAATTTTAATTGTCTATTTTGAGACTGTTAATTATTACTCCTATAGGGATTTAGCAGATGTCCGGGATCTCTTGTTCACCATTTATCAGAAAATAGCCGTCCAGCCCTGGGCGGCTGACGCCTACAACGAAGCTCCTCAGCGAGAGGAAGGTAATGTATTCACCTCAAACTCAGCTGTACATAGAGGGGACTTCAAGTTTATTTCTACTTCATGATATCCGTAATTATAAGGGAAATAACGCAAACTATTTCTCAATCTTTATACCCCCCGCTTGAAAAGTGGGAAGGTATATTGTGATCGGGATGTCAGTCCGTCTGTTGCGCTTTGGGGTACCCATCTCGTATCCGCAACTTCTCTCATATCACTGAATGAAATTTAATGAGATTTTCACAGAATCTTTGTTACCTATTGCCATTGTGCAATTCCCATTTTACTTTTTGGTCGGACACATATTTTGGGTTTCTCGGAGCAAAACATGGACACTGTCGTTCTTTTTATAATATTGAAAGGTACCTATCTATTATACGCAACTCCTCTCATACCACTGACTAAAATTTAATGGTACTTTCACAGATTCTTTATTACATAATACCATTGTGCAGGCACGTAGCAACACCCCCCTCCCACTTTTTTCCCCCAAGATTACCTTTACTATTGAAAATGTCCATTGAACGCTTGGCTGGCCCCCACTTCTTATCACAGTATATAGTTATATCAAGGAAATGTTAGTATTGTATGCCAAAAAAGAAGTTGGCCTTGAAAAAATGTGAAATAGGATTTTTGAGTTTGGACAATATCCATTTTTTTTTTGCTTGTCAACTTTTACAGGTAAGTATAAAAAAATTTTCTCTGGTTGCCCCCCCCAAACTATCAAAAACGATGCTACGTGTCTGATTGTGCACCTCTTTTTTACTTTTTTTTTATCTGACACTAAATCATTTAATTATTTATAAATTAATTATGTCTACCACAGCAAAACATGGATTTAGCCGTTATAATCATATGGGAGACGGGGGTATCATTTAGTGAGCTCAGTGATCACAGTACCTCTAGCTAGTTTTATACTGAAGTTGATTAAGTGTTACTGCATATTTAAAATATTTTACACGCCTTTATTGGTGTTAGAATTCACACGAAGATCTATCCGATTGTTTTTCTAGGTAACAACTATATGTGTTATTTGAAATTTTAGAATGTGTTGTAGTACTGGCATCCTCATAGTCTATTAAAAAAACCCCAAAATTTCTGTTTCTTTTAAAAAGGTATTTAAACACATATGATTGATCATGCCATGACTAAAATAAGGGAACTTTAACCATAGGTGCTAAATACTTCGACTTTTCTTTATTTAGGGTAGCTGGTGTAGAGCTATATTTGTTGAACTTTTTTTGTTGTTCTTCTTCTTAATTTATCTACCATTCATCACGATTTTGACAGCATTTTTTATTAGAATGTTTATGAAAGGGTTAATTGAATAAAAAGAACATATCGTTTGATCTCAAAAGACTGCTAGCAAGAGAATAGTTGTATAGCCTTCAATTTTTGAGAATAAAATACAAATTAACTTGCTACAAAATATCTTCGATTGAATCATTCTACTGATTAATTTCCCATAATCCAACAATAACCAGAAATACGACTAAACTTTTCTTTCTCTGTCCTTTAATTGCCGGGTTTCTATGGTATCCTAATGATTTTCTTGTCTATTCTGCATAGATTGTAAGTCCGAATCCTCGTCCAATGGGTCCACCGCGTCATCCATAGACATTACCATGGTAACGAAACATTAACTATTCTAATTCAGATTGAAATTAATATCATACACTCCAAAGTATATCTTTAAAGCTAACAAGATCCTCATTCCTAAATGTCTTTTTCGATAGGACCTTTATTCATATATTGCTGCTTACACTGTGATTAACCTTGTTTTCTACATAGGTAGAACCAAACAGTAAGAAGAAGCGCTGGTTGTGTGTCGTCATTATGACTTTTGTTGCAGTCCTATTGTCCGCGGCCATTATTGGCGTCTGCCTTGGCTTACTGAAATGACATTAGACATGATGCAAACAGACTATTACTACCATATGTAGAAAATAGAAGTATATTTATTTGCCAGTTATGATCCCATGGGGACATAACGTAAATACAAGCAGGATTTGTTAAACATATGCTGAGTTAGCATATTGTAATTTTGTTTTGTCTTTACTACCACCCGGTAAATAAGAGAAATACAATATGACACATACATGAGGACAAATCAACAAAATGTTTTACAGATCCAGGATAAACCTACAAGTTTATATTTAATAGCTAGTCATATACACATTTAAAAAAGTTAAAAGAGGGATCATAGTGTATCGTCTTGACCTTTGTAATCAACATGATCAACAATATGTACTAGTGTTTTTCAAAGTACGTTTTATACAACCCCCCCACCCCCATTCTGTCTGACAGTCAGAGTTTATGATTTTAACATTAACAAATGTATTCTAAAGTTTTACAAACATTTCATCGGTGACCAGTGAAATTCACTTTGATGCAAAAATAACATTAAAAAGAATTGTAAGACTAATATATACATTCAATCTGCAATTTTCAGATCATTCAAATTAATAAAAAGCAGATTTCACAGTTCTTTTTTCCTTGAAAGCACCAATGCTACTGATATTTCACAATTTTTATAACTTCGACCACAGCGACCTTAACCCGAACTAAACTATTTTATAAGAGTCCGTCAGATATAATGTTGAGTGGAAGGAAAATTGACAATTGGCTGTGCAGTACCGTCAACATTTCAAATTATTCTGTTTAACAATGTTTAGTCAAAGCTTCGTACAGTATTCCCTTGAATTATTCAATTTTTAACCTGTATGTATAATAAGGTACTTTATAGTCAGCGTTAAAATATATCTTAAAAATTTAAAAACTTACGTACATATATTCTTAAATAATAGAAATAATACTTGAACTCAACAATCTGAAGTGTTAAACTTGTCTTAGTAAACTCGCAAAACATTCTGAGTAATGTAGTGTAGATCACTTTATTTTCGCGAGAGGGCTATTCGGTTTTTATAAGCGATACAAAATTTTGGCAAGCTAGGGTTACTAATACAAATATACGCGAGAATGCATTTATAAACAAAAAGCGATATACAGTAGTTTAACAATTTATTCAAGCGGAAACTAACTTCACGGTGCTAATCACATTTCTGCCTTAACCTAAATTCTTTTCATAAAATATAAGAAAATTTAAGTCTGTCTTTAGCTTTCCTTTGTATATATAACAAATATCTTTTGAAGAAATACAGTGAAAACTGTCTAATCCGACACCTGAATAATCCGACACACTGTGGATTCCGACGTTAAATTTCTTTACTATTTTAGTATTTTCTTTATTTTTAATACTGTGCAATCCGACACCCTGTCTATTCCGACACGAAATTCATCTCCCAAAGCATGTCGGATTAGACAGGTTTCACTGTACTATCAATAATGAAATTGAGCTAAGACCTTCTCATATAGAAAAAAAATGTGTTACAGTTTGTGTAGATCACCTTTTACTTTTTGGAGTGCAGGTGTTTTTTTATAATTAATAATTTCAACACTCGTTAGATTGTGGCATATTGCATAGATTTTGAAAAAAAAAAAATAATATACCACAGATATTCTGTCTTGTGATTTCATTTTGTCCAGGTATGTTTATTTTTACGCGGCGTATTAGTCCTTGTTCTTTGCAGGAAAGGGATAAAGGAAAAAAGGAGAGTTGTTGACGGTTGTGTTTATGAGATTTATCAATATTCGTTATTCACCTTTACTCATTATATAGAGAACAAACACTAGACCATGTATTTTACATTATTGATAATAGTTTTTCTATCTGTTTGTATGAGGCAAATAAAGTGTCAGTGGAAGTATCACCTTCCGTTACATACACCGTTGTTCATTCTTTTTTAAGACATTGACAGAAAAACTGTTAACAAAATGTTGTAGAATAAGTTTTACTTATCGTCGATGGTATGTTAGTTTAAACCAAAAACCTGGGAATTTCGTCACTTTGTGTGATTTTGAATCAGTTTGAGTACAAGTATTAAACAATGCTGCTCTATATATGTTCATTCAGTTACTTATTGAGTATTATTTCACAATGAAAAATCAAATATTATGATAGACCCTATATAGTATGCAGTGAAGATATATTCTGGAATAGTTTAACGTAAGATAAGGGTTGTAATGTTGCTTTGCTGAGTCCAGTTTATCCAACATTTGTCTCACTTTCAACTTTTAATTATTTTTACTTATATTAAACATGATATAGATAAAAACGATTTTAAGTATACAATTATCAAAAAGAAAAAAAAATATAAAAATTGAAGTTTTATCAGAAATTATAAAAATTCTCATCATTGACCAATAATAAGATTTTATTTAAAACAAAATTAATTAATACAGCTTGACCTTAAAGTGAAGAATTGTCTTTAAAATGATATAAATTAATTTGATCATATATTAATTAAAAGTAATCGGGATGTCCGTCTGTCTGCCTGTTCGTCCGTCTCCCTGTTACGCTTTGGGGTACCCATCTCCTATCTGCATATCCTCTTATACAATTAATGGAAACAATATAAAAAATCAACCCAAACTTCTCCTCTTTGACACCTGCTGAAAAACTTATATTGATATTGAATAATGAAAATTATAAAATTTTATGCTTGGAAAATTTATTTCTGAAAATTAAAAGAACTTTTGAATGTATAAATATTTTAAAAAATTACATTTTCATATGTCTTCATATATTGCTAAGCCATTTAAATGTATACATTAAAGTTTAGTTTACACTCTACATTGAAATTTTTCCAATCATTAATTCTTCTGGAACTTATATATTGCTTTACAAATGATAGATATTATGTATGATCATTGACACTGAGAACAATATTATTATGTAATGGTCATTTATATTACTGTCGAATTTCGAAAAAAATTATTACAATTGTTAAAAAAAAATTTAAATTGATAAATTTGTATATGAAAAATAATGCCCCCACCCACAGCTTGATTGGTAAATATAAATATCTTGTATCTTGTACAGCCATAGGTTCCTGAGTTTACGCTTTTGGGTACCCATCTCCTTTCTGCATCTCCTGAGAACTACATAGGACCCCTGGGCTTTTTCGATAGATTTTTTTTTTGACTTTTTTCTCATAAAGAATCTTTCATTGACATATTTGTGATAAGATCTTTACCAACAAATCGAAAAATTACCTAAAACAAACGTTCTATAAAATCTACCCTACATTCTATATATGAAAATTTGTATATAGAGAGTGGGGTAGAAATTTTTATAAAATGTTAGTTTAAGCAAATTTTCTGAATTGATAGGATAGATTATATCACAAATGTGTCATCCATATATAATTTATGTGAAAAAAGTCTAACAGGCCCGGGGGTCTATATTAGGAGGGTGGGGTGTCCTGTCCTCAAGCACCTGTGCTCTTATACCACCGAATGAAATTTGATGACTTTTAAATTAGAGAATCTTTATAAAATAATGCCAAGTGCATCTCATATTTACTTTTTGATCCGACACAAATTTTGGGTTTCCCATAGCAAAACATGGACACTGCCATTTCATTTTATTCACATGGGAGGCGGAGTGTCATTTAGTGAGCTCATTGCTCACAGTACCCTATAGTTGGAAAATATTATAAATTTATAATGCACCCTGTATTTAAATACAAATATACAGCTATTTATTATCAAACAGCTATAGTATTTCGTTGATCAGAAATTGTTTTTTTTTTTTAGAATGATCAAAGAGATCTTATCAATTTTTAAAAAATGATTTGAAACTAGTACGGATTCTCTGTACACTCTACACATAAAATTTGACGAATGAAAGGAAAGACAACTCTCCTTATTTGATCTCCGACAAGATTGAGTCTGGGGGCCTTAAATCCGCCAGTGATCAAAGAGGGATTTACGTACAGAGACATCTAAATTTAGCAAATTTAGCACTACCTGGCCGGAGAGTTTTAAATATACGTGCATTGATTGGCCATTAAAAATAGAGATCAGATCGCTCCATAATATAAACAAACACATCCTGTACACTCAAACATTACGAAAACTTATTTGGGTGTACACTTGGTATTCATAAAACCAGAAAAATGGCCGGTAATTTTGTGGAAGTGTATGTCAAACTCCCCACGGGGAGAACCACGACCCTGAACCTCCTCCCCGGCAGCAGGATCAGCGAGATCAACCAACACGTGGGACGGGAGGAGGGCGTCCCTGACGACAGGGTCCTGCTGAAGTATCAGGGGAAAATCCTGGATAGAAAGAAGACGGTGGGGCAGTACGGAGTCCGAGCGGAGACCATACTCAAGGCGGAGGTAGGGGCGTGTCATTTATAATGTAAATCTTCCAATTATGCTAGAGTGTATAAAATATAAGCTGTTTCTCTATGAATAAAATGCACTACTGTATGTACATTTTTTTTATATAAGAGGGGAATGTGATAAATTTTTAAATATTGATAATATTTGTATGATTTTATCCGGGATACCTCGTCGAAGTACATGACACAAGACAGAGGGCACTTGCATTTGTAGAAGTTGTGACTGATGCAGCATCCTGTCATCTAAAACACGGGATGGGTCAAGTTATTAAAATAAATAAATAATCAAAATGATCTTACACCCTGTTATACAGAAACGACTCAATAACAAAGATCTAATGTCTGAACAGCATCCTTCCGTCCGAGTGTAATTGTCGTCATCAGCAATTTATAAAGTAAATTAAACCAGTATCAATCAGGCTCATTACGAAATTAACTACAGTTGTACATGTATTAATTATTGTATAGTTCTATGTCCGTTACAATGTTTTTTACCCTTTTCTTAACTGTTAAAATCAAGATGACAAGTATATTTTTCTCAGGAGTACACTAGTCTTATTGTTATTATTAGGTATTACATTTCAACTTGTCATTGTTCATCTACATGTATAAATTTGATGAGTTAAAACTACACACAAGTTTCAAGTTAGTACCGTTAGGTTGATGTAAAAAAGTTTCCCCGTAGATTTTACAGTCAGGAGACGGGGTCTCACAAAAATTTTAAAATTCTATTAGCCGCAGAAACACGAAGCAAAATATCTTCAGTCTTCAAGATTTTAATCCACTGTCTTGTCAGTCGCTAGTAACAATCTTCGTTTTCATTCAAATGATTCGATATATCCACAGGCACCTTACGTTACTTATTTTCCTTTTATTAAAAAAATAGAACCCTACCTAATGATAATAAACGGTTATTATTAGGTAGGGGTATATTTTTTTTCATTTAAAGAAAAATAAGTAACGTCAGGTGCTTGTCGATATATCCAACGTTTGCGTCGTCGGATACCCACGGGTGATCTCGTCTTTACTCATGTGATGAATAAGATGCCCTCGTGGGTCTGCTGATTTATACATCAATCTGATCATAAAAAGGGCATTCTCTACCATCGGCTCATACATTCACAACAATTCTGTCAAGGGGCTCACGGGTGTGACTGGTGAAGAGTGGATGCTTATGCATCCATGGCACCTGATCCCAATTCTGATGTTTTAACGAGTACATTTTGTTTGCGCTGCTTTAAATCCTTTTGTTTAGTTTGAATTTTAGATATGATAACGTCATAAATTTCACATTTTTATAGTATAAATTTAAATTAAAATATTACAGGTTGTTATCCCACGGACAATCAACGTGTACGTCAAACTTCCGGATGGACGTTCAGTTCCGGTGACGGTGCAGACGACAGATTTGGTAGCCTCGATATCGTCTGCTCTGTCGGAGAGTGAAGATGTAGACGTGTCGTCATTTAAATATCAGGTACACGTTTCTGACCAAACATTTCTATAGATTAATTTACAAGCACACCGTCTTGGTCTGCAACCAAATATTTAATGTACCGGTAAGCGGCTAGTGGTCAGCAAGAAAGATGTAATCCTAACAACGTGGACCGTTCTTATATTGAATAACAAAAGGTTATGATTTTTAAAAAATTAATTGAATCCAATTTAGTGAGTAATTAACGTTTTTATTTGTTTATGTATCACTTTTCCACACTGTATTTTGCGAGTCATTAAAATGAAATATACAATATGTGCATTTTTTTTATTCTCTAACACGAAGGGTAATGAAATACTTTAAAATTAAATGATCGCAAATTCTACTTTCTATTCATATCTATTCACATATTTACTGCACACCCCAATATTTAACAATATTTTAAAGTCGGATTGAAGCGATCAAAAGGACTGTGGCCTAGTTTGTCATTAAGTAGATTAAAGTATTTTCAACTTTTGCTGATTCGGTGATTTAATTTATAAAAAAAAGGGTACAGCCCTCATACTTTAAAAAGTTTTGTTGTACAAGAAACCCCCTTCTTTCTCACACACACGACAGAGGATTTTTAAGTTTTTATAACTTTTCCCCCCATTTCTTTCTTTGTATTGGGGGGGGGGGCTTGTCAAATTAAATTATTTTTAGATGATTTGTTTTTTCTCGCTGGCCCCCCACTTTCAAAATTGATACTATGTGCCACTTGTTTCGACTTAAAACTAAACAGCTGGCTATGAATAAAGAAGATTGTAAATTCAGAATGTATATAAAGAGCTTCTAAAATCTTGTCATTCTCCTAGATAACCATGATAACTCTTAAAATTTCTATTAATATAAATATATTATAATACCATAGTTACATAACCATGTAAAGTATGGACTTTAGTTGAGCAGCTGTGTAAGAATACATTTCTTTATGTAGTACATGTAAAAATCTTTGTAGTTGAGTGGGGGCAGGGTGTTGACAGAGGATCAGCCATTGTTTTCTCAGGGAGTGGGAGAGGAGAGCACGATAGAGACCAAGGAGAAACCAAAAGCCACAAATAAAAGTACGTCTCTAGTGCTTTAATAAGTATAGGATATGATTCATATATGAATAAAATGTTGATCGATTTTAAATTCAATTGAGTTTTCTAGCTTATACACAATAAGATCACTAGCTGGGTTGTATTTTTCAGACCCATCCTCGGAAAAAACCGAAGAACCATCAGAAGAAATAAAGGATGTGAGTAAATACCACAGTGTTTCTGTCCAAAGTTATTTTATGTACATGAAATTCGTGATGAGAATAACTTGAAGAGAATATTATAATTATTGCAAAATAAAATATCTGATTTATTCGTAATATTATTTCGCCGTTTCTTATCCTTACTTGTACTCATGTATTTAGGCAGTTTTATCAAGTTTTGCCGCTGGAGGGAAAAATGTGGAGGTGGTATTTTCATTCGATACCACAGGAAGTATGGCAAGCTATCTGAATAAGGTTATTCAAGTTCTTATTTACTAATAATAAAATAATCTACAATTTAGACCGACCATGGATCGAGAAAGATACATGTAGATTGTCATTGTAAAAGATTATGAAATTGTAAAAAGGGTAATATTCAATTTTGTAATTCCTACTCACTTTCAAGTTGTGACCATTAAAAACTTGACACATGTTAAAATTTTAGGTTCGGGAAAACCTACAAGAGACCTGTCGAAGACTGCTGCAAGATATTCCGAACATCCGGGTCGGATTAATTGCCCATGGCGACTACTGTGACCAGAACACGTACGTCATCAGGCAGCTAGATCTTACGTCAAATGTCCAGGAATTGGTCGACTTCGCTAATAACACACCAAGCACAGGGGGAGGTGACACCCCAGAGGTATTCTTTTAGACATATATGTAGCTAAAACGGGTGTAAAATTTTGCGTTTTGTACGCCAATATTTTTTTAGTGGACACAGAGTACCATGACGCTGCAAATTAGAGGATATTCATTATTTGATGAGTTTTCAGTACTTTAATTTAAGTCGTTTGAATACCGATTAACCCAAGAGTTTGAGTATAAAAACAATAAAAGTTAAAAAGGTACACTGCGGGGTTGACCGCGGTCGGCCGGGAATGGTCACTCTTCATTGGCACCTGATCCCACATCTGATGTTTTAGAGGTCCTTGTTTGCTCTGCTCCTGATTTGTATTGTTTAATAGATTTTTGAGCTTGAATAAAGAACTTTACCATTTCTTTTTTCTTACAGTGCTATGAGTGGATGCTACACAAAGCTAAGTTCTTGGATTGGTCTGAGGATTCTGCTAAAGCTTTGGTAGTCATTGGAGATGCCCCTCCCCATCCCCCCTCATACACTGACCAAAACATAAACTGGTGGAACGAGGTAGAACTGCTGAAAGGAATGGGTGTTAAGGTATACACAGGAAAAAGCTATCTAAAAAGTATATATGGACCTACTCTCTAAACTTGTACATGCATTTATCTATCACCATCAACAGATTCAAAAACAGGCTTTGTTGTGTGTAATAATCAATGTTTTTTTTAAATTTCAGATATACGGAGTCTTGTGTAATAGATCGGAGGGAGACGAGAAACATTTTTATGAAGAGATTGCAGAGCAAACAGGGGGCTGCTTCCTTCACCTAAATCACTTCAATCTCATCACTCAAATGTTTTTAGCTGGTATGTATTTTATAATCCCTTGATGATTGATAAATTTACATGTTTTTGCCGTTTTCTCTCGTGTGTTTTTTTGCCTGTTTTATGTAGTGTTTTTGTCGTTTTCTTTTGTGTTTTTATTGGTTTTCTTTAGTGTTCTTGTCATTTATTTTAGTGTTTTTGTTTGTTTTCTGTAGTGTTTTTGTCGTTTTTGTTTGTATTTTGTCGTTTTCTGTAGAGTTTTTGTCTTTTTTCTTTATAGTCGTTTCTATAGCGTTTTCCAGTTTTCTGTAATGTTTTTGCTGGTTTTCTGTTGTGTTTTGCCGGTTTTCTGTAATTTTTTTTTGCCGGTTTTACGTAGTATTTTGATTTTGTCTGTTTTTTTGTTTTTTGCTTTTGTCGTTTTTTTTTGTTTTTATTGTTTTTTGTAGTTTTCGGTTCGGTAGTGTTTTTAGTTTGTTTTTTTGTCAGTTTCTGTAGTGTTTTTATGGTTTCTGTAGTGTTTTTGACGGTTTTATGTAGTGTTTTCGTTGTTTTTAGTGTGCTACAGTGAGTCCAGTGAGGATCAGCTGGAAGCGTTTACTGATGAACTGGAAAAGGAGGGAAAACTCACGGAGGATACAAAAGTCCTGATGAAAGAAATCGGAGAGAAAAAACCTAAAGAGGACAGTGCCAAACCCAGCAAAAAGAAGGTAACTAATACATAATGAATCCTATAGATGTGCTTGATAGTAACTTGTATCAGTTATATTTTTAAACTTTTGTAGTCACTTAAATTTAGCTCCTAGTGAGACTCAGTAAGGGGCAATCGGAAGATGATTTTTATTTTCCAATAATTTAGATCGATGTAAAGCGTATTTATATATATATATATATATATATATATATATATATATATATATATATATATATATATATATATATATATATTCTATATTGATTTTCTTTTCAAACACACAAGAGTCCTTGAGATAGCCGGTTACTAAATAAATCAAACACTCATATAGTTATATAGGAGTTATATGAATACACTCCTATACAGTTCATAATAATATAATGTATCTTTCATTTCTTCGTATTTCACATGTATTTTCTAAACCTGATCATGTTGTTTCTTTTTCAGAAAACATACAGTTACGACTGGTGGGACGTGCAGATTAATGCAGACACAAGACCACAATACAAATACGACGCACAGAATGACCGCTGGTCCTCAAATTCAGAAGGTATAGACATATCAGTGTTAATCATTAACCCAATACCTGTGCGCCTTTGGAAAGATTCTGTCTAACCCCCCAACCCCCTTTATTTCTAGAAATTGTACTTTGTACCAATTGTTAAATAGAAATAATTGTTTAAATGTGATTGTATAAAATTAATTTTCAGTAAATGTATGGATAAGAAAGGGATGAAGATAATATAATTTTAAATGGAAATTTACTAGAACTATAAAAAATTTCATAAATGTATTCCAGTTTTCAAAGATATAAATGTAATGTAATGTAATGTAATTTTTGCTTCTTTGAGATTTAATTAAATACATACACATTCTAATTAAATATACTTTTTTGTGTTTCAGCCGTAAGTTCAGACACATTTAGCAGTTTTACACATAGTTATACACCTCTCTCTGTCACAGTGAAAGCAAAGAGTAAGAAGAAAGGCTGTGAAATCATGTGATTGTATAATATCCTGTCAGATCTAGGCTTCCTCATATCACGGAGCTACATCTTTTCCCAGAATTATTTGAGTTGAATCCCAGGACAAAGAAAACAATGGCAAAAACCTATATTGCTTTTCCTGTGTTGTAGACATCTTTAAGATGATCTACTGGGATGTACATCTACGTAATACTATGTGTCAGTCATTTGAAGCATATAGTCTTCTCTGGAATAGGATTTGTATCACCTGATCATTATACCATGTCCAGTCCTCATTAGTGTGTATGTGTTAAACATCAGTGATGGATGATTGCAAATAACCATTTATGACATACCTGGATGTGACTTGGGTAGTGTTCTGAAGAAAAGGTGGAACTTTCATGTTGTATCCGCGAATCTAGCAAAACAGTGAAGCCTTGTAAAGGCTACAAGTGCAATACAACCTCAAGACTTGTAATTAGAATGCAGTTCCTTCATTTTGTTCCGTTTCACTTTATTTTAATATTTAAGTAAAAAATAACACTTCCAATTTAAAAGCTTAGAGATCATTTAAAATAATTTCTTTGTTTGTACATTATTGCATAGTCACCATGCAGTGATTGTTGTATTTTAATTTCATTCACCAAAGTTAGTTTTAATAATAAATGAAATACTAAATGTATGACATATACAAGTTATCTTCAAATATTTACATTTTCAAATGTTTTCCTTTATATAACACTACTGAAAGCAATGCGTATCTATCACTGTATAAATACAGGTAAGGGGTCAAGAGGTCATAGATGTGCGTATGGATAAACGTTCGACGTAATTTCTCAGTGACGTCATAAAGGGTCGACGCGCGTTCAGTGGATTACATACATGACGCTGGGTTTGAAAAATAATGCATTTCACACGTTAAAAGTCACAATCAGGCAAATTTAAAGTATGAATAAGTTACAAATGTAAATATAAGTAATAAGGTGTCATTTTAAAACCTCTATCGGGCTATAAATACGGGTTGGTACGAGATTAAATTCATCATAAAGCCCTTGGGGCTTATTTCTTATACCTTATTTCTTAAATGAAACCCACTAGTGAAAATAAGAAATGTCAACAAAGATGGGATCAGGTGCATAGGATGAGCAAGCATTCCTTGTAGACGAGACATGCATCTAGTCCTCTAAACTGATCAGGTAAATGGAGTAATTTATTGTATAAATGATATAAAACAATGGTCTCACAAATAATGGGAAAGGGCAGACAAAATTTGACGCAACAATAGGTTGTGTTTCTCAGCAAGGTCGATATAATGACCACAGAGGTTGGAGGATGCTGAGCAGTACATGTACCCTGGACATGAATTACTTAATCAGGAGTCAGGCTCTGTCAGAAATTTGGTTGGATCGTACTCCGAGCATGCTCTTGGATATCAATCAATAGGGAGACACAAACACTATGTCAGGTAATTCTGGAATTTTACATAAATTATGGAAAGGGACAACAGAGAAGCTGAAATCATCCTGTTACCTTGGAATTACTGTCTGTAGACAGTCAAATTTACAAATATGAAGCCAATATGAAAGACTATTGATGTCTTTTATTTCAAGTTCATTGGGATACTAGTATATCAAGTTGACACTGAATAAACTTAAAATAACTTGTGTTATTAACATTGACAATATTTTATAAAATGTTGGATGGTGCACAACTTAAGATTTTATCATCCACTGAATTTCAAATAGAGTTACATTTCTCTATGTTTCAGTTGACATTAATCGTCAAACTTCTTTGATTTTGACACATTTTTGTCAATATGGAACTTTTTTCCTTCTGATGGTGGTTTCTCAAATCCCAGGCCCAGACCTCTGTTCTTGTTGAAGGTCATGGCTTTTCCATAATGGTCCTCCATGCTCCTCATATAAACATCCTCTTGATTCTGGGTCATGGCCACATTGCCAGACTTCTCCCCCAGGGCAGACAGAGGAGATTTCTCCCCTTTGGCCGCCTTAAAGCCTCCCAGAAGTCTTAGGAACTTATTCTGTCGCTGTTGGTCCCCCAGTGATGCTGTAGTCCACTGCCCACAGTAAGCTGATTCAGAGTTTTGAAGTCCTGCTTTTTCTCCATTCATAACCTTTACTTCATTGTCTTTAGACTTTTTACTAGCTGGCTCTTCAACTGTATCCAGTTTTTCTCCCTTGATTTTCTTTCTTTTCTTGATTTTTGGGCTTTCTGATTTATCTGTCTCAGTATTGTCAGTTGCCTCTGTAACATTAATATCTTTTTGGTGTACAACATCGTTTTTGTGTTTCTTTTTCTTTGTTCTTTTGTCAGGAGTTACCGATTCCTTGAGATTGACAGTGTCCTTTTCCTGTTCATGTTTTCCCTTGCTTCTCTTTTTACTCCTCTTACAGCTCGAGTCAATATCTGTCTCCCCATTCATCTCTTTCAGAGCAGTTTTGCTGTGGTCCAGTTTAGACTCAGTTTTGTCTTGGTCCTTTTTTGATTTCTTTTTCTTCTTAGATTTTTTAGTTAAAACAACCTCAGATTCAATGTTATTTGCTTTATCTTTTTCCTTAAAGTCTATCTGTGTTTCATTTAATTTCTTTCTTTTCTTTTGGACTGAAACACGCTCTTCATCTTCACGTGCATCTGATTCAGATACTAAATTTTCCTGCCCATCTTTCTCCATCTCAATTTTTCTCTTCTGTTTCTTTTTCTTTGACTTCTTTGTGTGACTTTCCACTTAATTTCCTTCTTTTCTTCTGGACTGAAACGATGTCTTAATTCTTCTTCCCGTGCAGGGATCTGATTCAGATACTAACCAATTTTCACTGGTAGCCTTGTGTTGTTGTCGTTGTCAAATCCCATCTCCGTTTTTCTCTTCGCGATATTAGCGAGATTTTTTCTTTGATTTCTTTGTGTGACTTTCCAAGCCAGAATCTGCCTCTGCCTCTTTATCTGTTTCTCTTTGTATTTTAGCTTTTTCCTCTTTATTGCCATCTGATGTTGATATTATATCATTATCAGTCATTACCTCCTCCTCTTCACTGTTCTTTTTCCCATGCTTTTTTCTTTTTTTCTGGATAACATATGATTCATCTCTCGTAAGTTCTTCTGTCCCTTTGTCGTCACATTTCTTCTCTCGTTTGGAGTCTAATGTTAACAATATTAAATCAATACTTTGCAGCAATATTAACAATTTACATCACACAATGAGAGCTATATAGTGATTCCTGCATACAATATGCAGGATTTTGTATTACATCATTTCAAAGTCAATACCATTTCATTTATTCAACATGTTCAAAAAATTCATTTTCTTGTTCTCTGAATGGTACTTAATTGAATAAATTTTAGTGTTTTTACAGTCTTGTAGATGGACATGTAAATAAAATTCTAAATGAAAAATAATTGTCTTTTAATGAGGTTTCAAGCATATTAAAAAAAAACTAAAATAGTCAGTAGACTTACAAGCATTAATATATATCTTACTCTTTTGTTTCTTAGTTCTGTCCTTTTCCTTCTTGCGCTTCTTCCTTAAATATAAATAAAACATAAACTCAATCTGTAGACATTAGCAGTTGAGTTAAGATAGAATACAACTGGGACAATATGAAATTGACCGATTATAAATATATCTGACACCTGCAAAGGCTGGAGTGTTCTGTCTGTGTATTATCCATTTGCCTCTCTTACGGGAAAACTGATCAACAAAAGAACCTCTATCAATGAAAATATAAAAGTTTTCAGGTTCCAGTTTAAATGGACAGCATAAACATGTCCACAATCCAGTGCATGTTATTTACATTTCGAATTTCCTCTACAGCTCCCACGTGCACAGTATCTGTAAATCCTGAGCCCGATGTATTTTCTTTTAATAAAATTCCGACCCCTATTATTAGATTTTAAATTATTACCTTTAGGATGTGCATTCCTTTATAAAATATTACAGAACAATCAAACGAAACTTAACTGATCGTATGGATTGCTTAACTTCAGATTTGAAAACAGAATTTACGTTCAATTCACACAAAAGGGTTTACCCATGGACGGATACAGAATTTGAGATTAGGGGGTATGGATCGATGACTTCGTTCGGGCAGGGTTTCTGGGGCCGCCTTGAGTAAACCAAGTACAAAAAAATGGCATTGGTTATTTATGTACACTATGATTTTTCACTTTTTAAAAGGAATAAACCCTATAATAAACAAGATCAGATTTGATGAAAAAAAACATTTTACATCTTCAAGAAGTCCTTATGTATGCACAACCAGAATGTTTTTTCAAAGTACATTCTCATTAATTGAGCATTAATTATAAAACCAAAGTATGGCATTGAAATTAGACATGTCATACTTTGAAAATTTTAAGAGGGCTGCCTTTGATCCGCCATTGTTACCATAAACTTAAATTTAGTGGGAGAAGACTGCGCTAATTTGTGCAAAATTGGTTCTCCTTTTTGTCAAAAATACTGTTCTTTTTCTTATAAGTATGTAAATATTAAATAAATCTATAAAGGTACGGTGGTCTCAAATGTTCGATGCAGTTTGCCAGATTAATCCATGACGTGCTCACCTGTTACTGAAAATCATGAATTATCTTAGCCATATACTGGTATTAATACAATACGTTGATTATATTTTATCGAAATTCAGCCTAATTATCGAAAAAGAAAAACATGTCAAATAGAACAATCTCTTAATGCTTCTAAATTAAACTATAGTAGAACAGTAATCAGAATTATTGATGAATTCATCAAGAATATCCTTACTCCCTAAACTGGATGTTACATTGTATGCAACTTTGATACTTGATACGGCTCTTTCTGAGCGGTATTTAAAGGGTGTCTATGTCAGACATAAATATTTGCACTGCTTTGTTTAACACTAAATAATCTGTTTTAGCGGGAGTCTTTGTTATTTTGCTGCAGATGAATTATTCTTTACATACGCACGGGTGTCATACGAGGGAAAGATTATTTTGTTTCGTTGTAAACGTAATTACGTGTAGTTATATCTGTTTAGTAAAGCGTCAATTCATTACAAGTATATTTGCTAAGGTTAATGTTTTTCGAAGATTTTTAAAGTAAGTCAAAGTTCAACGTCACAATTGTTGATACCAAAAGAAAGTTATTCTCACAAGAAAAACATACATGAAGTAAGGTAGCCTTAGCTCCATTCCTTCAAAAGTTATAGCCAAGCTTAAACAATTTTGCAAAAGTGGATCAAAGTCAAGATGTCAGTTATGTTAGAAAAAGTCATAAAGAAAAGTCTTGTCTCAAAGTGATCCATATGTGAAAAATAAAAGCCCTAGCTCTAACAGGTCAAACGCGGTGGACAAAGTCAGTGATTTGTGGACAAACAGACAGAGGCAAACAGACGGATGGACAGTGCAAAACCCGTATGCCCCTATCTTTGTTGTTCTGATTCAACGTACAGCTTAAAGTATATATGCATATAATTATGGTCTGTAACGGGCTATATACAAATCAGGGAAGATTAGAAGTGTTTCGATGGTTTTCTTGACTTGCAGAGCAACAATCAACCTTTATTACAGCACACCCACCGCATAATCAATTGTGTTTATTGCAACTGTACATGCGTATGTTAAAGTCGCTGTTGTATGAAATTTTGAGTTTAAAATTTTAATGAATCAAGTAAGACCATTCACAAATGCGTCTTCTTGTGATATTGCATTTCACTTCCTGTACATCCCCTTTGTATCGGTTGAGGGCGCTGCAGTCGTTCACTTCCCGTTCCGTCTCATTATCTGATGTTCTGATGCCTACAGCTGGGGAACCGTTGGGCCACATCCAGTCTCCCTCGATTTTTAAGTCAGATGCTCCAACATGCCAGAAAGTGACGTTGGGGTCTGTAGAAGAAACTGAGTTGTTTACAATTTACACAGACGGCCTTGAAAAAAAAGTTAGGGCTTAAAATTGTATGCATAATTCCCTTTCATAATCTAAATTTAATTGGTAATTCAGTATCAAAACAACAAAAAAAATGATTATAACAGAGTTTTAAATATCTAACATGCATGATTCCACACTGATATTACGCATCATTATTCGATAAGAAAAACTCTTTCTCAAAATCTAATAAATACCGGTATGTCCATAGGAATTTTAAGTCCCACCGTGGGTACTGAGTGAATAAGTAATGCAATATGAAAATTAGTGTTTGAAGTTTGATGAGAAATCTTGAGTATTTTTTTAAAATTTGAAATTGAATTTAAAAAAACAAAGATAATAAATTGTCTCCAAATTATATATAAGTGCACAAGCTTACATAAAAATATCTTAATGATTTCTTGAAAACTAAGCAAAAAACATTTTTTTAAAAAAGTAGGGTCAATGTCACAGGAAAGGATAAGGTCAAAAGTTTTTGATGCAACTGAACAGCTCTCACTAATACATATCAGCATATTAAGAGAAACAAGGACATCGGAAAGGTAAAAAAAAATGTTTAAATGCAGTTGAAGAGCTAACGTCAGTATTTATCAGCATATGAAATTTAATTACATTATCTTAAATCAATAAATGGGTTGTTTAAAAGAACTAAACAAATTTAAAAAAAAAGTCAAAGGAAATGTCAAGGTCAAAAAATGTGGATTCGGTTGAATAGCTCTCATCAATATGTATCAACATGTGAAGTTTGATAAACACATCTTGAATAGTCTCTTTGTCTTTGAAACCGAGCTTTGAACTGAACTAAACGCAAAGCGCGTCGGGAGGACAGGACCCAGACAAACTCGATATTCCTCAGCCATATTCCTGTCGGGGCTTATAAAATGTTGCATCCTTCCGTAGATTTCGAGCTTGTCAACATAATTAACTTTAACAGGATCTTAAAGTTTTTGGACATGTCGTGGTACTTGTAGAGAATATGTTCGATAATAACGGAAAAAGGCATGGTTCGTAAGCAACCTTATGGAAACAGTTTTCTGCAAGTTTTGGGAGTTTCAACTGTACAAGTTTGCTCCCAACAAGCCAAAGGATGTTTCATCTGTGAATTAATTTAAAGGACCCACCCGGAGAAAGTCCCGAAGACGCTTACATGTACTACCAATGAAGTTTGTCATGAAGTTTATTTTAGCATCTGTATCCAGAGAGACCAATTGTCCTCCGACTCGCACGCATGCGTCCCGAGACTGATTCCATGGTAACACGTTGCCAAACAGTTCAAAGCAAAGATTATGTTGGCTGTTGAAAATGTGACCCTGATTTTCACAATCTACAAATAAAATCTGCGGGTTACTTTTTAAGGAATTGCAGTGCATGAGTCTTCAACCAACGAATTTGTTGTAAAAATTGGAAAGTTTTGTAATCAGAATAACCTGTTACTTAAATAAAGAACAAAAGGTCTATACGCACCTGGCACAATTTTGACAAAGTTTTCATTGTTGCTTATGGTCATTGACGTGTAATTCTGAAATAGATAAGGTTTGCAGACTTTTGTCGTGATATCGTAGAAAATGCCAGCACATAGAACATTCTCAGCACATTTGAGGCAGCACCTTATCACACTAGCGCCATCTTTTGACGCGATTACGCCAGAGGTGGCTACTGATGCAGCAGTAAGAACATCCCCGTCAGTCAACTGAAAGGAAGCAAGCTTCATTTCCTGTCCTGAAATAAATAACGCAATCTCATTACATGTTCCGATTATTGAGATGCATTTTTAAAATCAAGTCCAAGGCCGTAACTACCATTGAGGCAAGTGAGGCAAATGCCTCACTAAATTTTTAGAGTTTTCTGAAACCTGAAAAAGTTTTACATTGAACTTATGAATTATGTGTGTAGACCTTCGTGCTAAATTAATATTTTCAACTTTTGTTTCAATTTCTGTAAATCATCAGGTTCCTCATTTTTATTTGGAACGCATGTAAAATTTTATTAAAAATGTTTGTTTTGTAAATTGTTTAATTGTTTAACATCCCTTCCAGAGATATAAAAATATTTATATCTCTGTCCCTGCTTCTAAGACTTTCTCATTCATGTATTTAGACACCAGTACTTGCCGTTGGAGGGCTGCAAGTTTTGAATTTGTACATGTACTGGACTTTCAGGGTTAATGAAGATGATTGAAAGATATTTTTTGTGCCATCACTTCTGTGACAAAGGGCCTCAGAGTTTACCGTCTCATCCGAAGGACTGGTCTCTACATCCCGCAGTGGGATTCGAATCCGCAATGTTCGGATTAACTCCTTTGTCTGTGACTCTAGAGCATACGCTCTAACCACTGTGCTATGCGGCCAGAATTCAAAACGTAAAACCTTTTTAAGATTAAATCTTTTATTCTCCAATATCCATGATTCAGGACCATCCTTCCCCTAGAATCCCCCATCACTGGCTATCAGGTACAACCCTTGCCCGTCTGGGACTAGGAATGCCCAGCACCATTGCCTCACTAAAAATTTTAGCTTAGTTACGGCCTTGAAGTCTTTAAAACTACAAAGTAACTTGGAAAATCAGATGAAAACACACGCGATTTTGCTACAGTCGATGTGTGAATGAAAAAAAGACCTATGAGCACCCCTTCAAGTATAGCGTTAACATGTTGGTATTTGTTCCTTAGTGTTTCCAAATGAAACTTTGATCTATTTATGTGGCTCCAACAGCAACCAAAGATTTGCATACTAATATCGTCAATCTTGGTCCTACTGTTCTTGAAAAGATTTTTAAAGTATTTACTCAGCATATGCCAGTGTAAATTTTGATCCTCTATTGGGGTCACAACTTACCCCCAGGATCATATTTTTTGCACTACCTATGGAAACTTGCATTATCCTGACCCCGCGGTTCTTGAGAATGAAGTACGATTTTGGCTGTTTTGTATATATTTCGAGGTACAATTCGATCCTTTTTCGGTACCCTTTCTATTCCTGGGTACTTTAAATTGTATAAAAATGAATATGAACCACTAATGAATACATGCATAATGACATCATTCATCATGGTTCTGTTGTTTTTTCGACGTATATTTTTGAGGATTTTTTTTAGAATCCAATTTAAATGGTTAATCCCTTGAGACAATTACTTAAATAAAAAAAATAATAAAATCATCGTATTGAATCCTCCGGAGTTCCATCCATTTAATATTACAAATTGACAGAAAATGAGTTTTTTGGTTGGGTTTGACTTTGACAAGCGTAGAACTTTTTACTGTTTATGACCAATTTGAGTAATGAAGTATCAGTTTGCCTACCAAACAATTTAATTACCCTTAGGTTAAGGGACAATAACTGAGGATCAATGAATGTTCAAAACGTCAGGAGACTTAGCTTTGTTGTTAGACTCGAAACAGCTTTGGGGCTATGTTTGATTGTGGACTTTTTATATTTCTACCAAGTTTTATTTAATCAGACTAACATTGTAAGAGGAGTATAACACCGGTTTGTTTTCCGTCAAACTACACACACAGGTTACTAGCGTGTCATTATTAAACAGTTACATACTATTGGAGGACATAGATTTTAAAATTTATCACCATCGGGCAGTAAAAAAATTGCCCGTACTGTAATCAAGTGTCATCATTATGAAATAACATTCGGAAATTGATTAGATTTATTCGAAAGGATTCCACTACAGTGTGGTTTGTTTGATTAGTTTTTAGATCTTGAACTTTATCTACTATCTCTTACTTTCATATAGTTAGAGCATTTATAAAACGAATGTCCTCTTTCACTAGAGGGTTAAAATCTGGAATACTCGAAATGGTCGTATTGCCCCCGTAATCGAAGATTCGGCAGTATTTTGTTTTTGCCTTGTCTGACTGTTTGTCCGCAAAACTCTAATCTTGCTTAATCACGATGGTCTATCCGTTGCAACTGTGCAAATAAAAAACCAAAAAACAAAAAACAAAAAAACTTTTACGGCGCTTTGCTCTAGAGTCACGGAGTATGGATCGAGTTGACTCTAAGGTCGCGGGTTCGAATCCCACTGCGGGACGCTGAGACAGGGGCCCGTTTTACAAAGGGACTTAAAGACCAAATTTAATTCTTCATATAACTTTTTAATAAAATTATATCGAAATTTATTTTAATCTTTTTAAAAGAAATACGGTAAGATATTTTTACACAAATCATTTTGAAGAGAATAATTAATTTTGCAAAATTTTACATTCATCAGAAGTTTTTGGTCTTAGCCGTAAGTTCTTTTGTAAAACGGGCACCAGGACCTTCGGATGAGGCCGTATAAACCAAGTCCTGCGTCACAGATGGTGCTGGTACAAAAAGATAAACCCTCTGCTCATTGGAGGTAAGTGCCGAGTATAGGTCTAAAGCAGCCCTCCATCGGCAAATGATGCGTTTCAATATGTGTGATGGAACATGAACAAAACAGACTTATATCAAAATACTAAGTATATTAAATAGTAAGAAAAAGATAAAACGAAGTCTTCTCACCATCTGATTCTAATATAATCCCAAGAAAAACGACGATTATCACTCCTGGTATCATTTTTCCTTCTAGCCTCCTAGAAAGACCTCTTTTCCGGTTTGTGCACAGACTCGATTGATACCCAGTAAAGATCACTTAGGCCGAAAGATCACTTTGTTGATTACTGGTGTTTTGACATCTGAAAATTATGAGGAATCGAATTTCTGAGGTGTTCATAAATGTTAATTTCCATGTGTGTTGTCTTCAATTTATTCATTAAAAATTTAGCTCGGGGAAATCCAATATCATTACTCACTTGAAGCGATTGGTTCAGCGTTTAAGCATTTGATCAAAAATATAATATTAAGGTGAAATGTCCCTCTGGAAAGAGAGATAACTCTACCTCTCAACATACAATTTTCAAAATTGTTGCATTTATTTTATTTTCTCTTCAAAAAATATCTCGAAGAAAGATGACTCCTGTAGATGGACAGAGAACCTTTGTAGATGGATGCATGTTTACAAGGACAAAATATGATATTCTGATTTGAAAAGCAACGCTTTATCAAGTTTTCAAATATATGAATTAAATATGCATATGTATAACATGTTTAGTTTTGTTTAAATTTTAAGTTTATGTAGAGATAAAATAAAATTAAAGATCTTTCTATTTACTGGCTGTTTTCTTCACATCTTGATTTAACAAAATTATACTCTTCATATTTCGAACTATTTTCCATTTGAATCTGGAATGCTATGGTTAGTGATAATGTATTGTTGATTTGAAAAAGAAAATGGTAAAATTCAGAACATAGAAATAGGGATACTTTATTTTAAAGGGGTTATTTAAAAAAAAAACATGATATAAATTACCTTAAATAAAAAAAAATTGCAAGGGGAGGCGGGGGGCAAGGATGTCGACAAAAAGGTGGTTTAATATTCACTTGTTGCAATTTGTTCAGCATCACAGCATTTAATTTAAATGTTTAAATATTAAAGAGATTATTAAAACAACATGGCATGGATGACGGTATGTATAGAAAGAGAAATACACAAGGGAAGAATTCGTCAAGGCAAGGGCTTCGGCAAAAGGGTGGCTCAATATGCAAAAAAGGTAGCGGTGGAGCCGCGAGAATAACAGGGATCTGTAGTGAAAAGAACAAGCGTAGTGTGCATTATTGTTTACTCTGATGTCTGTAAACTCCTGTACCGGTCGTGTGTAAATAATTAACAAGGCTTTAAGTATATGATCCACTGCTGCAAGTGCTGGTTTGCTACAAATTGTACTATGGCTAATTAAAATTGGTAAATCGATCTCGGTGTTTGGAAGTGTCCTTTCAGACATTTTTTATTTAATCAAATAAAATCTGCAACTATAGTCATGTTGCAGATTTTATTTGAGAAAATGAAATATGTCAGAAAGGACAAGCGAGTTGAAGTAAATAAAAAATATTACAATGTACAGATATACATTGTTCCAGAAAGCAGTCCCAGCAATCCCAGTGGGCGGGATGAGTTAATTTGATAGGCGGAGCTTATAAACATGTAGATTTTGCCCTTTTTCGTCCGTCCTTGTCTGTTTAACCACAAGAACTTAATTCAATCTTGCCCATATCTTTTGAGCGGCTGGTCATACTTCACTGGTGTATTTCTTGTGACAACACCTTTCTTAGGGTACCACCAAATTTGACTTCTTGACCTTGGACTTTGATCCACTTTTACCAAACAAGCTTCAACCTTGGTGGTCATAGCTTGAACAGTTGGTGCTAGGGATTTCATACTTCACATGTATATTTCTTGTGACAAGATCTTTCAATGGCAGGGTGTATATATTTTTTACTCTTTATCCTTGAACGTAGAGTTTGACTCACTTTTAGAAACCTTTAACCTTGGCTATGTCTTTTGAACCGTAAGTACTAGGGCTTTCATATTTTACATGTGTATTTTTTTGACAGACCACCCTTTGGATTCCAAAAAATTTGACCTTTTGACTTTGACCTTGGAGTCTGACTTGCATTTGAGAATCTTCAACCCTCCGGCCCTATAAGCTGTTGTATGGGGGCTTGGGTTTTTCACTGAATTGAATTGAACATATTTTATTGACAAAGTCAAAAGGATCGGACACAAGTTCAGTAACTTAGATAGTCCTCTCCTAATATAACATTTTGTAAAATTGCCAAAGTAAAACAAACATATATACATATGGTCTACTACATACATTGTATACATTGTAGCAATAGAAAGGAATAAATTCTTTAAATATACAAATATAATTTGAGATGGTGAGAAAAAAAAAGTAAACTTATTTTGAAAAACGACCACATTCATTTAAGAAAGTTTGAATAGTCTTGAAAAGTTCAGCATTTTGTTCAAAAGTTAGAGAATCATCGCCCCATAACATTAAATGTACATTTATAATATGGAAAATGGAAATGGAAAATCTGAAATGTATTGTTCACATTTTGTTATTACTGGAGACTGATTGAAATCTAAATGCCATGAAGAAGTATACTAACCTTAATCGTATGGATAAGAATGTAACGTTCTAGATCATATAAATATTATTTATTAAAGAATTTGAACACATTTTGTACATTTTTGCTAACGTTTAATACTATTTTTCGGAATGAAAAGAAAGTCCATAACCATTATTAATATATTTTTCAACTCGTTAGACTGTAAAATACGGTAACATGAAACGTACGTTATCGAAACGTACGTTACCAAACAAGCTACTAATCACCTTTTTGGTAGGACCAAGCCTCCGTATCGGTTCCAGAAGCAGACGGCAGAGCATGTGTACTTGTGGGGAATAGCAAATTTTATTTTTTGAATTGCCAAAAGGGGTAAGTTATTTTGTTTATTTATACACACACTTTGATGATGCCCTATAAAAATTGCATTGCATTATTTCAGGTGATATTATTCATACATATTTTGTGATTGGTTAAGCATCAACCCAGAACTTGATGAATGATGCGGAGTTTGCGTGTTATGGAACATCAGTCGGGGAAATGTACGATATAATTTGTAATGTACATTTCAAAATATTAAGACGTTTTAAATATTATCTATTTTTTTGTTTTTCTAAAATTATTTTACTAATTTTTTTTTAAATAAGCCTTTGATATTAGCGTTTGTTTTATATTATACACAAACATTTCAGATAAATCTGATTATTTGATTATTTAAACATGGGAATAAAGAGGTGTTTTGATTAAGAGAAATACAAGTATTTATATGACAAAACAAAGATGATTCATAGGATTCATATTCAATATTCTTAAATTTTAGATATGTTTTGACGATGAAAAACTAATCTGAATTGGGAACACGTATTTAATTGCAATCAAGTTATAAAACATTTTATTTTTCTATTAGTAACGTACGTTTCACCAATTACGGAATGAAGCTTATTTCAACTTATGTTATACGATATAACATAACTTGGGGCAGTATACGCTTTATAAACCGCGAAGCGGTTTATAAAAAAGCGTAAACTGCCCCAAGTTATGTTATATCGTATAACATAAGTTGAAATAAGCTTCATTCCTTATAATTTAATTTCAATGTAGACAATGAGACAATTTTTCCATTTTCCTTCGGAAAAAGGCATCAAATGTCGCATATTTAAAACAGTTAACGTCCAGCGGAGTAATACGTTTTTGACGTAACTCATTGTGACGTAGGCAAGTTATGTTATACAAAATGGATAAAACCGTTTAACCAATCAAATGACGTGTTACAAGTGAAATTAAATTATTGAGCAATAAACATATTACTGTTGAAAATGACACTTTTATCAGTTCTAATTGTTGTAATATTCTATAGAACGATGCCGCTGAGTCGAGCTGAAATACAAAAAGCATATCGAGAGAGAAAGAAAGCCAAGGAGGGTGAAAGTTATTTGCGGAAGGAGAGATCAAGGAGAATGAAATATTATGTTCCAGCAGCAGAGTTGTCAAGCAAGGAAAGAAAAAGAAGAAACAAACAGAATCCAGAGCGAGTAAAGAAACATCGTGAAAAAAGAAAAGCAGAAGTTTTGCAAGCAGAAGAGGACAATGTAAGAGAGACAAGTGGTTATGAAAGTAATATGATGTCTACAGGTGAAGAAGGGCAATTGGTTGTTAGAATGAATTTCAACACCTCAAAAAAAAAGTTCATCTAGAAAGAGGATAAGTAGGGCGGTTTCAAAAGCTCACAGGGAAATAAATCATCTGAAGACGAAAACTTATGAAATGAAAAAGATTAGAATGCTTCGAAAAAGAAACGAGCGATTACAAAAACGTCAACAGGCAGGTATGTCACCTAGAACACCACGAAGTAAAACAGACCGAGATTTGAGAGAGGCAGGTATATCCACAAACAGAGGAAAGGCAGTCAAAAGAAAGCTTTTATTCGGCAATGCTCTGCTTTGTGAAATTAAGGAGGCAAATCTGAAAGCTGGGTTGTCAACTGTGAAGAAGCAAATGTTACAAGCTATTGCATCTGGAAATACACTTAAACGATACAAGGGACTTAAGTGGTTAGGAAGTAAAACAGGGATGAACAGAAACAAACTTGGAAATACCATAAAGAAATGGATAGATATAGGAAGAAAATCAAGAAGAAGAGTTCAAGAGAGGTACAAAAATGAAGTAATATCTTTCCTTGAAAGAGATGACAACAGTAGGGCACAGCCGGGTAAAGCAGATGTGAGAAAGACTGAATCAGGTACAAAGATGCAGACGCGAGTACTCACAGATTACTTATCCAACTTGCATCAGAAGTTCATATCGGAATATCCTAATATAGAACTTTCACTTGCAACATTTTGCAGAATGAGACCTAAACACATACTCAACACGAGTATGACTTCAAGAAGCAGTTGTTTGTGCACAAAACATTAGAATATGGCGTTACTGCTTCGATGTCTGAAAAGTAATGGGATGCAGGTACCATTAAATCCAGAGTCATTTTTGAAGCAAAATGAGAAGCCCACACTCCAAGATAAGCTACCAGCGCAGGTAAAGTACAGTCAGTGGAAAAGAATTGAAGTCACAGAGAAGGGGAAGACAAAAAATGTTACAAGAATTGTAGAAATGAATGCTGAAAGGAGTTCATTCATATAAACCTTTGAAGCACAAGTAAAGGATTTTGAAAGCCATGTTTCCAGAGTTGGAAGACAGTATCGGGAAATAAAAAGTCTAAAGGAAAAAC